CACACCTACTCCAACAAAGCCACATCTCCTAATTGTGCCACTCCCTATGAGCTTATGAGGGTCAATTACATTCAAACTATCACAAACCCCAAGCTCAACCAACCAAACCAGATTGGAGAAAAAAGAGTAGGCACTCTGAGGCACCAGAGAAGCTACAGTTCACAAACCAGGGTATCAGAGGCTTCATAGAGAAATCTGGAATTATGAAGAGTGCCCTTGTGGACGATCCTCGGGTGTTCTGGGAACTGAACCTACATCCTTATGTATGTAAAGTAATGTGCTCTAACAATCACCTATACCTCTAGCCCTAAAAGCTTTCTTTCTTTCCTTTTTTAAAATTATTTATGTATTTGAGTGCTTTGTCTGTGTGTAGTCTATACAACAACAGAAGAGAGTATCTGATCTTTTGGGACTATAATAACACATGGTTGTGAGCCATGTGGCTGCTGGGAATTGAACTCAGGACCTCTGGAAGAGCAGCTGGTACTCGTAACTGCCGACCCATCTCTAGAGCCCCACAACAAGTTTTCTTAATGATGTATTCACTGGTACTTTAAAATGGAATGTTTTCTATTGTGGCATCCTGTCTCATGATCATAAGATGGTAAGAAACTTCCCCTGCCTTGTTTCTATCATAGGTACCATCTGGTCATCACAATACAAAAAGCTGTCTTCAGATGTTACCAAATGTCCTTAAGGGACAAAACTGCCACTGGTCAAGAGCCAATGTCATAAATAAGTACTATTCTGGACTGACCTAAAAAAATCCTAAGAGTAAAATTTCAAAGCACAGTACTTGTTACAAATAACTTTAGCCCAGAATAAACCTTGAGAAGGGAGGGGCGGTGTTTCCACTATAGATAGATAACAATTATTGGGCAAATAGAAAACTGACAAATAAAACTACTATTAAGGAGGGATAAAGTAAGCACTCAAAGTACCCTAGAAATGATATATGTGTTAAAGTTAACTGAGAATGTCATGAAAATTATTTGACTGTATTTTTATTAGCGGTTCTCAACCATCCTAATGCTGTGACCCTTCAATACAGTTCCTCATGTTGTGGTGACCCACAACCATAAAATTATTTTTGTTGCTACTTCTTAACTGCAATTTTGCTACTATCATGAATTAAAATGTAAATATCTGATATGCAGGCCGAGAACCCATGCTTTGTATGCTCTAAAAGTTAAGCAAAGATAGGCAAAAAGTACAAATCTCAACTCAGTTTTCAGATGTAAAAACACCACTGAGAATTAAAATACACCAAACAAATGAATGAGAGTTTAGATACCACAGAAGAAAACACTATTGAACTAGGAGGCACTACACAACAAAGTAGTTAAAAGACAAAGAGAAAAAAGAATTTAAAGAAAGAAGGAATGGCAGTGAACTATGAAACACTGTCCAATGTTTGAAGGTAGGTTAAAAAAAAAAAGTCTGAAGAACCAATGGCTGAAAAATCCACAGACATGATACAAAATCTAATGCTGGAGCTCAAGAACGTTAAGCAAACTTCAAGCCAAGACACATGAAGGATAAACTAGGATGCCATCATAAAACCACTCAAAACCAGGAATAAATGAAAACTATCAGGAGTAAGGGGAGGTGGGAGATGCTGAATGAGGAGCAACCAAGCAAAGATAACAGATGTCTCATCAAGAATAAGTCAAGGAAGAAGAGAGTGTGCAGCGGCTTTCATGAAATCAAAGAAAAATAAATTTGGCAAGTCAAAACTATGGGTGGTAAAAATACTATCCACAGCTAAACATAAAACAAAGATGTTTTCAAACCTGGAAGTTAAAAGCATTTATGACCAAGACGTCCAAATAACAAACAACGAGAATTGCCAAAGAATGCCCTCTGAGTCTGAAGGAAAATGACGCCAGATGGACCCGACTCTAAGGAAAGAGAATGAAGAACAATGGAATGGCAATTACATGACTAAATGCACGCTTTATTACTCATTAGTTAATTTCTTTTTTTTTGTTTGTTTTTTGCTTTTTGTTTTTTTCAAGACAGGGTTTCTCTGTGTAGCTTTGGAGCCTGTCCTGGAACTCACTCTGTAGACCAGGCTGGCCTCGAACTCATAGAGACCCACCTGCTTCTACCTCCCAGGTGCTGATATTAAAGGCATGCGCCACCACTGCCTAAGAAATGCCCTTTAGAAGAGTGTCAAAAGTGAAAGAGAAGAAAGGCATACCATGATACTACTAATCAAATCAAAGAAGTGGAGCTAAAAGCTGTCTCAGGAGATAAGAATGTCTGCTGTTCCCAGTACCACGTCAGTGGTTCCCAGACTTGTGTAACTAACTGCCTGACCCTAAGGCCTTTCCTGGACTCCATGGAATCCATACACATACAGCACATGCTCAAACAGATACTCATCTATGCATGTACATAAAAAATAAATAATTCTTTTAAAAAATAGTGAACTGGCTAGATTAACAGTAGACAATAGATTCCAGGGCAAAGTATATTACTAAAGATAAACAATGCACAATAATAAATGGATCAGAAACTCAATTCTACATTTTAAGTATCTATTGAATGTCCCTTAAGAAGTACAGCATTCTGGGTATATGAAAAGAGTCTTCAAACTGGGCATGGTGCACACACTTATAATCTCCACTATGGAGGCAGGCGATCAGGAGTGCAAGGTCAGCCTCAGCTTTACAGAAAGTTAGAGGGCTATGTAAAAACAAAAATGGTAGCTGGGTATTGTGGCTCCCAGCTGCAATTCCAGTACTTGGGAGACTGAACTAAGATCACCTTGAGTTCAAGGCTAATCCAGGCTATACAGCGAATTTCGGGCCACCTTGTGTCACAAAGTAAGACAATATGAAAAGCAAGTGAGTAAGGTGGGAGGGAGGGAAGGAAGGAGGGGAAGAGAGAGAGAGAATACAAATAAAAATCCTCTTTTTCAGAAATAAATCGATATATGAACAGATAGGTTTGCCTGGCAATACCAAGGTCTTGCAAACATACAGAGTAACACTAAGAGTGAATAGCTACAATCAGATTGAGCAGCAATCCACTTTGATAGTTCTTTTGGTTAAATATAACATACAGAGCTTAAAAGTAATCAAAATTGTATTACTTTGACCAGAATCAATGCCTGTATTACTTATATTAAACTATACTTTTGTATAACTAAACTTTTATTCACCAAGTTTATCTAGACGTGTAATGTATGCTATATAATCATTAAAAGAATGACTTGTTAGGCCAGACAGATGGCTCAGCAGGAAAAGGTGCTTGCCACCAAATCTGACAACCTGAGTTGGATGCCAGGAACAAACAGTGGAAGGGGAGAACTGATTCCAGCAAGTTGTCTTCTAAGCCCCAAGCAGGCTCTGTGGCAGTCATGTGCACATGCACACACAAACACACTCCACCCCTCAGAACAAACAAATATATAATTGGAGAGGATCAGAATATCATTTTAAAAACAAAAGTAATGAGTTGTTTACATGTTGGGTCTTCAATCCTTCTGCAACAGTCCCACCATTCGCTAAAGGTTAACTAGATCCAGTCCACTGTATAATCATTATGCTGCTCGTACACTCATCAAATCATTATGCTTCCAAGGAGGTGCATATTCTACTTGATACTACTTGATACATTGAATTCTATTATGAGACTCTGAAATACAGAGAACTGTAATTTACAGGTTAAAATATTTTACAATAGAACACACTTGCAGTTTAATAGTCAAATAATACACATATATTATGCTAAATTTTAGGTGGCATACTATTTGAAAACCATAATTTTATACACCAAAAGACTGGAAATAGCAGTTAAATGATACACTGGCATGATGCATACTTATAGTCCAAGCACTTGGGAGGCCAAGTTAGAAAGATTCTAAGAGTTTGCAGCCAGCCTGGGCTACCTAGTAAGATCCTGTTGCAAACAAATAAAAATAACCACACTACAAAAACACACTGTTGAAACCTTAAAGGAAAATTAAGTCATTTTTAAGAAATGGAATAAAATGAAATAATTAAGGTAGACAATCTTGAATTCTAGAAATGGCTTTTCACATGTTGGCTGAAGACCTAGTATGACTTTCCATTATGTAACCCCAATGTAAGCATTTATGTGACAGTAATAAAGGGGTAGGAACCGCTATACAGAGAAATCAATAACAATATTGTAAAGCCTACAGCAGTGCACATAAACATGCTGGAGGAGACTTCAACACTAGACTGAAGTAAATAATTATATTTTCAATAAGCATACATCTACAGGGTAATCAATTTCATACATGCCCTACCAGCTGTTTCACACAACTCAGACAGTAGAATGGCAGTAGCTGTTTGATCAACACTGTGTATGACATGAGATCCTGCTACTTAGTAACAGGTATATACTCCTGTTTGAGAGGCCATGTTAAAGTCATGGAACAGCAAGGTAATTGTGGGGTGGTTAACTCAAGAGAATCTTTAGTGTACTTCTACCTTAGAAGTTAATTCTTAACCAATTATTTTTATGTCAGAGAACTTAAATTATATGCTACCCTATTTCCAAATTTAAGAGATTTGTCACAATCAGTGTTTCTGAAATATTAAATTAAAAGGTGTCATGCTAATTACTATGGAATAAATAGCAATTATGATACTTTTTAGGCAAATAAGCTCAAACTGTTAGTAGTGCTTATATCAAATACTTATATTACTACTGTTTTCCACAATGTTTATATCATTAATGGTAAGTTGCTAAAAAATATGTTTGTAAAACTATTTCAAAAGATCTCATGAAACTGATTTAATAGAATTCTGTGCGACTGAGAAGTTATTTATACTATCTCTAAAGCAGTAGACTTGAAGGTGGTTAACACACAGCACATAGCCATAAAGATTATTTCTATTGTGTGATAGTGAATTGAGCATATGCTTGCCAGAGGTACATTATCTTGTGATGTTTTGAGCAGGTCCAGCGGACAGCTATTGTCTATCATGTGACTATGGCTCCAAATATGAAGTAGCACTTACAGCTATGTAGTACACTTTGGCCTTCTCCACCAACATCCAGTTCTTCTCCAGATCAAGATGCTTTTCCTTTTTGTAACAATTGGCAGCAGCAAGGTTAGCAACAAGGGACCTAAAAACCCAAGAAGTAGGAAATATGTTTTACTTATAAAGATTAAAAAACTAGCCAGTCATTTTATACAGAAATGAACAAACTCTTCAAAAGCTAGTATTGTAGATGGTGAAGACAGGGAGGTGTGTGATGTCTTTAGGACAAGAGACAAGGTAACCAGCCTAAGTATTACCTAAAATTCTAAGGCTGGTATATGAGTTTCTTTTTAACTCCAAAATAAGGTTTATTTTTTATATAATATATTAATACAGGTTTTATATATTAATACAGTTCAAAATGCAGTTAAGAAATAGGCTACTAGGTCATTCTGAAATAGGAAATCTATATAAACCAAAATTTCATTTTTATGGTAGAAAAATATCTTTATAAAAATATGACCAACAGACTATAATTGACTATTTAATTTAATGCTTTAAGAGTCCAATATGGGATTAATTTCATAAAATGTACATATAAACGTAGATCATATTTACTGTGAGGAATAAATTTGCAACTATTACATTTTAAGGACTGGAATCAATTAGAACCAAGTCCTGTAGCTAAAAACTCCTGGACAGGGTTATTTTATAGGCGGAAAATTTAAACAGCATACTAAATTTAAAATCTGGTTTTAAGTGCCACTGAAATTACTTAGTTTTAACCCAACAATTAAATTTAACGAAATAAAAAATTATTTACATTTCACATAATTATAAATCTTTCTTCATTCAGACCTAAGATTTACAAAATTTGTTGGCATTTTTTTTATCTATTAAAAAAATTAAAACAGCAACAATTATGGCTTTTAGAAAAATGACCTCATCGTTTGGGACTTTGGAGATATTTAGTTCCTCTATCTACAAGAAAAGTTTCTCTTCCAAAACAATTTTCCATTCATCCATGTTAATTTATTCCTGAATGACACATCTGTTTATATTAAAACAAAAGTAGGAAAATATGAGGAATCTCAAGAATACACTCAAATACAAACCACAAACATAAAGCATCAGTACCATTTCTTTTGTCTGGTGCCAGGGATTGAATCCACTGCTCACATATAAAACAACCTAATCATGACGTAGGGATTTTTCATTAAAACACTTTCATGTTAACTTTTATTTTAATCACAAAACTATATTGAGTTCTAAGTTTTACTTACCAGAAGCTGCCTAAAAGAAAAATCTACCCATTCTGCCACCCTCCAGCATTTGTATTATGAATTAGAGTCCCCTGCACCCTCTGACCATTTCAGAGTTCTCACATCTTTTTTCTTAAATTCCAGACTAGGTCTCATGTATCCCAGGCTGAATTTGAATGCACGATGTAGCAGAGGATGGCTTTGAACAACTTTTCTTCTCCTTCTTCTCCTTCTTCTTCTCCTTCTTCTTCTTCCTCTTCTTCTTCCTCCTCCTCCTCCTCCTTCTTCTTTTTCTGGTTTTTCGAGACAGGGTTTCTCTGTGTAGTTTTGGTGCCTGTCCTGGAAGTCACTCTGTAGCCCAGGCTGGCCTTGAACTCACAGAGATCTGCCTGGCTCTGCCTCCCGGGTACTGGGATTAAAGGCGTGAGCCACCACTGCCTGGCAGCACTGAACTTCTTATCCTTTTGTCTACCTCCTCGGTGCTAGGATTACAGACATGGGCTGCCACATCCTGTTTATGCAGTGCTGGGCATGGGACCCAAGGATGTGTGCACACCAGTACAATGCTCTACCAACTGTGCCCCATTCCCAGCCCCACTCCCATGAATAACATGGGTCACTAAGGCCATAACAGTGATGGACAAATTGAGTTTTTGACATCTGAAGGACCTAATAATCGTTCTTTAAAATAGCAACTTAGTATATAAAGACAACTTAGCAATTTTATTCTAGTCTTTGTGATGTCAGAAGAAAAATTCGATCCATTTGTCATTAATGGGAAAACCACACTTGAAGAATAAAATTTCTTTTAGGAAAACTGTAAGAGGCAAAGCTCCAACAAGTACATTTGAATAGTGGATAGCTGAATATATAGAGACTTTAGTTTGAATGATGAATAATTTAATTGAGACCTAAAAACAATCAAGTTCCCCTATTCACAAACAAAACAAAACAAAAAAAACACGTTAAAGGAAAGGTCTGAAAATTACTTCTGTTCCCTAATTATTCTTGAAAGTTCTGTGTTAGATATTTTATGACTATTGCCCACACTGATTGTCAGCACCCTGAATTGTGTCAGGTCCTAATATGATTCTGCTGGAGGCAAGCCGGAAACCAAAATAAAGAAGGTCAGAAAGGGGATTGTCTTAACATTCTTTCTATTTGCTATGATTAACACCACAAACAAGAACAACTTGGGGAGAAGAGGGTTTACATCGATTACACTTCCAGGTCACCATCCATCACTGAAGGAAGGCAGGACAGGAGCTCAAGAGGTTTGGAACCTGGAAGCAGGAGCTGATGATACAGAGACCATGGAGGAACACTGCTTACAAGCGTGCTTCTCATAAATTGCTTTGCTAGCTTTCTATATAACTCAGGACCACCTGCCTGGGGTGGTACTGCCCACAGTGGGCTGGGTTCCCACACATCAATCATTAATCAAGAAAATGCCCCATGGACAGGCCTACAGGTTCATTTGGCGGAAGCATTTTCTCAATTTAAGTTTCCTTTTGACCAAATGACTCTAGCTTACGTTAACTTGGTAAAAAACTTTACCAGCAAAGGAATGGACCAGGATTGAAAAACAGCACAAAGAATGGAGGACAAATTACGTATTTCTGAGTATAGAGAACACAGCCAGGCATGGTACACCTATAATCTTGACACCGTGGGAGGCAGAAGGAGGACAGATTTAAGTTTGATACTGGTTAAGTCTATTAAGCAAATTCCAGGCCATCCAGGGCTGTATCTACAGACCCTGTCTCAAAACTCAGATAAACCAAACCATGTACAAAATGTGTAGTGGGTCAAAATTTAAAGGAGGTAAATTCTGAGGATTTTATAAAACCCTAACAAAGACAGTGATTTTGATTTCCCCATGCAAAGGAGAAAGAAGGCTCTACTGATGTGGTGCTAATAATATTAGAAATGTATGTGTAACTACAGGAATACCTGCATAGCTATAAAACAATAAGTAAATAAAACCAATGCAAGGGAGGCCCTGAGAGATATATCAGATGTTCATATGAGGAAGAATTTTCTAAGTAAAGTTGGCAGACAGGAGGGCTGGGACTAACAATACCAACCACAAGCTCTATGAACTTTTCTACTTTGTGGCCCAGGCTGGGGGACTTTCCCACTAGGGACTAGGCTCATATGCTTGTGGGGTGTGTTTGGATCTTTCTGCTACATATCCAAGATTTTGAAAAGGGTTTGAAAGCAGCTCACTGCAAGATGTAAAATGAAGAGCTACTCATTTTAGTCCTTTCCATGTCTAACTGGAAAAGTGACAGCAGGCAGCCCTCAACCCGTGGCACGCACCATCTGCGCCTCTCTGATTTGTTTTAATATAGCATATTTGACTGTGGAAAATGTCATATTTAGTCACTCTACAGCCCTGTGACCTGCTCTGGTTGCTTGACCCCTGTTTCTTTTCCTGAGTGTCTTTTGTTTTCTGTTGATTTCAAGAACAGTAGTGCCAATGACCGTCTGTTGTAGAGCGACCCCAGGGGCTCACATTGCTGTAGTGTGGTGCCACTTTGCTATCTGAACAATAAAGACTTCTGAAATGTAATAAAAACGTGTGTGTGTGTGTGTGTGTGTGTGTGTGTGTGTGTGTGTGTGTGTGTGTGTGTCTTCCTCCACCACCACTCCCATCTCCATACTCCACATGCAGGATCCAATTGTGTAGCTCATCCTGGATAGCAAACTCGTGATTTTCCTGTTTTGGCCTCTTAAATGCTGCAAGTGTACAGGTATGAGCTATGACTTGGCTTATGATTTGGCTTGGTTGCTGACTGAATGGTGCATTGTCAAGACTAGTGGTGTTTAACATTGGTTAAACATTAAGCTATGTGGCACACATGCTTTTATAAGCAGATTTTGATACTTTGTTATCAGGTTATGCTGACAAGATAATTCTTTCTTTTCTAACGCAAGTTCACCAAATTACAAGATGTAAATCCTGCCCACCCCCCAAAAAAAACCTCATTTTCTTTCCCTAAGTCTAATTATACAAGGTAGAGACTACATTAGATAATCTCAAGCTTTCACTGCAATATCCCTTATGAATTTAAAAGAAGGTCTAACAAAAACAAACTTAAGAACACAAAAGGCAGGCCTGTGAGATGGCCCAGTAGCTAAAGGAGCGTGTCTGACGATGCACACCTGGTGACCGAGTTCACTCCTGGGAAGCCATATAAAGGCAGTAGGAGAGAAACAGCTTCACCAAGCTATCCTCTGGTTCCTACCTGTGTGCCATGGTACGCACACATATCATACGAACACACCACCACAACACATAAATAAATACAAGAAATTTTATTCAACAATAAAAAACAAAAACGGAAGATGGGCCTGAAGGCTCACTCCTGGTGGAAAGACCGCTAAGAGTTTGAGGACACCTGACCTACAGCGTAAGATGCTGTCTCAAATAAAGTAAAGCTAAAACCAAATAAAATAACTACATGGTTGACAATGACTAAGATTTAAAAAAAAAAAAAGTCCAACAAGTGCTGCTATGGATGCAGGGAAAGCAGAATAATTATTCCATGTTGGGCACACAAAGTGGTGCGGCTACTGTGGGAATTCTTCAGAGATTAAATTCTTCAACAACCTGCCAGGCTGGGCGGTGGTGGTGCACACCTTTAATTCCAGCACTCAGGAGGCAGAGGCAGGTGGATCTCTGAGTTCAAGGCCAGCCTGGTCTATAAAGTAAGTTCCAGGATGGCCAGGGCTACACAGAGAAACCCTGTCTCGAAAAACTATTAAAAAACAAAACAAAACAAACTAAAAACATGTGTAAGATTTCACCTGCATCTATAACAACAAAACAGAATACAAGAAGTTTTGAGGCAGAAATTGTGTATTGGGGGAATAGGGGAGTAGATTTTATCAAACCATATTGTACACATGTATGCCATTCTTAAATAGTAAAAAAATTAAACACAATAAGGTAAAAAATAACACAAAGAAGAAGAGTTTACTGAACATTAGAAATGATTATCAACGTGAAGTTTATTTCAAACTGAAATTCGGGTTTTGTCAATGTTTACACAGCTCTGAGGAGAGGGTGTTCCTGGTTGATAATGACTTACCTGTTGCCACCAGTGATGCATGCAGCGCAGGTTCCAGTTGGCTGCTCATTCTGCTCGTAGTAATGAGCATCCACATGTGCTTCAGCAGCTTTACTCTTCAGGATCTCCCCAAATTTATCTATCCCAATGCACCCAAAGAATGTTGCTGCTTTGTGTGGCTCCTGAATCATCCACTGAAAAGCAAGAACATAAATGACTGAATGGGTCAGAAACAGTACAGATAATGCAGGACTCTTCTATGGATGCTGGCCTGCAAGGCATGCTCTGTGATGACGATAAATGGAACTTCAACACTGCACTACCGCTTAGGATAAGAACCGTGACAAAACAGTCATACGCATCTTACTCTACTTCATGAGGAATAGATGTAGAGAGTTTAGTGAGTGGACATAGAAAACAGTACATTAGAATTCAGAAGCTCAAGTTATACAGACATTAAATCAAATGCTGGCTGTTTACAGGAAAATAAAGTTAAGTGCCAATAAAATGAGCTAGCACAGCATTGTCATGGAAAAATACAGAATTCACTTTGAAGACTGTTTTGATAAAATGTTTGCCCCTGATTAATTGTGGTATTAATAACATATCACTTGATCTTTCAACCTTTTTTTCCCTTAAATTTTTTTTGTTGTTATACAGGTCTCACATTGTAGCTCAGGCTGGCCTAGAACTTACTGTAGAACATAGCTAACCTAAAATTCATAGCAGTGCTCCTGTCTCAGCCTCTTTAATTCTGGGATTATAGATATGAGCTACCCTCTTGGCTTCACTTAGCCTGTCGACAGTTTATTTCTCTCATCTGTAAAATGGGGAAATGATAACAACATGCTTTATAAGGTAGCTTTAAATAACATAGGTTAATACGTATGTAAAACTGAGCACAGTACCCATGATACAATAAGCAATACCTATCAGCTGTTAAAATCAATATTTTATACTTCTTGAAATAATTCATCCATAAATTATGCTAAAGCATAATCATGCTTAATACCATTAAAATGATAAATGTCAAAAAATATGGCTGAGCATGGTGGTTTATGTCTGAAATTCCAATACCTGGGAGATGCAGGCAGGAGAATCAAGAGTTAAATGTCCAGTCTTGGCTACTTTGCAAATTTGTATGAGGTCCTATGAGACTCTGTCTTACTCCCCACACCAAACACGAAGAAAAGTGTTCAGTTCTGGATTGAGGGTGGACTTCTGAGCTTTCATCACAGAAGCTACTTTTTAAAGTAAATGGCAATTAATTAAGTCAACAGATATAGAATAAGATATTGTGGAATGCACAGCTCAAAATGAGCCATCTATATCATAGCCATTATCTCACAGCCCAGGGACGACTGAGGTTGAAAGGGCAGAGAATCTCCACAGTGGAACAACATTTACATGAGATGAGAGGACTGTTGCACATTAACACTCACTGTGGCTATTACTGGGTGAATAAGACGAGCAGGAGCTGAAACCTGCCAAAATCACAGAACTGATAAGGGAGGAGCTCATGAAGCCCTATCCCTATTTGAGGACCCATTGGCAATTGATTGCTGCTGGAGTTGGAAAAGTCAGCATTCTTTAGAAATGCTGGCTCTGAGAGGCTAACCATGCTTTGGCAGATAGATGGTCCTATACTTTTGCTCATACAGACGAGAGAGAGAGAGAGAGAGAGAGAGAGAGAGAGAGAGAGAGAGAGAGAGAGAGAGAGAGAGAGTGCACATGAAGTGAGAGAGTGAGCACAAAAGTGGTAGTGAGCAGGGGAGGGATGGGAGGATTTGATACAAAAACATTTATGCATGTATGAATATTAAATTTTTTAAAGATAGAAATGTTAAAATTCTAACTACAAATATCTCATCATGTCATTAAAGTGATTCTTGTAAACTTAAGTATTTTTGTTGTAAATGATTCATCATGGATTTCTTTTAATATGCATGGTTTTCACTGATTTGAACTCTTTAAATTAGCTCAAGTCCCTGAAGGCTTCTCATCTTTTATTAGTGATTCTAAAGAGATCATCTTTCTTTGTTCCAAATATAGTTGTTAAAATTCTCTGTATATTAAGTTAAAAAAGGGGGGGGGAGCTGGAGAGATGGTTTAATGGTTAAGAACACTTGCTACTTGGTAGCCCAGGCTGGCCTCGAACTCACAGAGATCCGCCTGCCTCTGCCTCCCGAGTGCTGGGATTAAAGGTGTGCGCCACCATCTCCCCCAAGATCCAGCTATACCACTCTTGGGCATATACCCAAGAAATGCTCAACCACACCATAAGGGCACTTGTTCAGCTATGTTCATATCAGCATTGTTTGTAATAGCCAGAACATGGAAACAACCCAGATACCCTTCAACTGAAGAATGGATAAACAAAATGTGGTACATATACACAATGGAATACTACTCAGCAGAGAAAAACAATGGCATCATGAGGTTTGCAGACAAATGGATGGATCTAGAAAAAATCATCCTGAGTGAGGTAACCCAGACTCAGAAAGACAAACATGGTATGTACTCACTCATAGCAGGATACTAGACATGAAACAAGGATGACTTGTCTGCTACTCACATCACCAGGGAGGCTACCTGGAAAACAGGACCCCAAGAAAGACACAGGGATCGCCCAATGACAGAGAAATGGAATGAGATCTACATGAACAGCCTGGACACGAGTGGGGGTAATGAAAGGCGAGGGTTGAGGGAAAGAGAGCTTGGGGGAGCGGGAGATCCCAGCTGGATCAACAACAGAGAGGGAGAACAAGGAATAGGAGACCATGGTAAATGAAGACCACATGAGAATAGGAAGAAGCAAAGTGCTAGAGAGGCCCACAGAAATCCACAAAGATACCCACACAACAGACTGCTGGCAATGGTCGAGAGACAGCCCGAACTGACCTACTCTGGTGATGGGATGGCCAAACACCCTAATTGTTGTGCTAGAAACCTCATCCAACTACTGAGGGATCTGGATGCAGAGATCCATGACTAGGCCCCGGGTGGATCTCTGGGAGTCCAATTAGCAAGAATGAGGAGGGTTTATATGAGCGAGAATTGTTGAGACCAAGGTTGGATAAAGGACAGGGACAAATAGCCAAATGAATGGAAACACATGAACTATGAACCAATGGCTGAGGGGTCCCCACTGGATCAGGCCCTCTGAATGGGTGAGACAGTTGATTGGCTTGATCTGTTTGGGAGGCATCCAGGCAGTGGGACCAGATCTTGTGCTCATTGCATGAGTTGGCTGTTTGAAACCTGGGGCCTATGCAGGATTGTTTGGCTCGGCCTGGGAGGATGGGACTAGACCTACCTGGACTGAGTCTACCAGGTTGACCTCAGTCTGTGGGGAAGGCTTTGCCCTGGAGGAGATGGGAATGGGGGGGGGTTGGGGGGAAGGTGAGGGGGACGGGAGGGGGGAGAACAAGGGAATCCGTTGCTGATATGTAGAATTGAATTGTATTGCAAAATAAATTAAAAAAAAAAAAAACCAATGGAACCTACAAAAAAAAAAAAAAAAAAAAAAAAGAACACTTGCTAAAAGTCCAGGTTCAATTCTCAACACCCATATTGCAGCTCACAACTGCCTATAGTTCTAGTTCCAATGTACCCAATGACTTCTTCTGACCTCCATGGGTATTTACATGCTTATTTGCATAAAGGCAAAACACTCATACAGATAAAATGTAAATAAAATTTTAAAATAAAAAAGCACCAACATAGATTTTGATAAATACATTTTCAATAATGAGTACACAAATGTATATATACATATATAATTACATATATACACACATACATTTGAGGGGCAAAGGAATGAGGACATAAATAAAGATAAAGAAAGCTACAGGAGTGACATAAGCTAACTGCCTGATGACAAGGAGTCCTGTTTCAAGAGATTTAGCCTTAAAATGCACATACAATGCTACAGATGTAAGCATTTATATTTTATCTAAAATGAAATAAAGTTACAAACAACAAAGTCTATGTACAGAAGACTTGTTGAATAAACTGGATGAACCTGTTTGACAGAAACCCCAAACCACACACAAAAACAAGGAAGGGTTTAGAGAATGGTCCATCTAAGTAATTCTAGCATTGGGAGATAGAGGCTCCAGTTGGGGCTTGGGAGGCCATCTTGGGATACAGAATGAGTTCAAAGCCAGTCTGAATTCAACAAGAAAACCCAATCTTAAAAACTAAGGTCTAGCTAGGAATATGGCTTAGTGGTAAGCACTTGCAGGGCCTTGTATAAAGCCAAATGGTTCAATCTCCTGCATAGCAACAAAACCCCAAACCAAAAGCATCCACGTGTGTAGACTATTCTCTAGGATATCTCTGAAACTAGGAAAGTTCTAAGAGAAAGAAAACTCAGAAGTAAAAATATCCTGGGAAAGCTTCCAGACACTGAATTTGTCAATGTTTTCTAAGGAATTATAACAAAACAAGTCAAATAAAGCAAAAGTAAATAACTATGACTACAACAAACTTAGACCTACTGAATAGCAAAAGGAATAATCAATAAAGTAAAAGGGCAATTGTACATCTGATGAGAGGTTAATATCTAAGAAACTTCTACAACACCACAATGAAACAAATAACCTGACTGAAATATGACCAAAGTTGTTGAGCATTTGTGTTTCTAACCACCCAAAAGGCCAATAAGCAAATGAAGATGCTCAACAGCACTAATCATCCGGGAAAGAAAAAATCAAAAGCACAATCAAATGTTATTTAATACTGATCTTGAATGCCACTATGAAAAGAGTAGAAAATAAGTGTTGTTGGGGATGTGGAGAAATTACGCTTGTGCCACGGCAACTAGAGCATAAAACCAGAAAGGTGCAAGTACAGAAGTCTCTGATACTAGACAAAAGGCAGGGCAAGCCTGTGACCTCTGACAGGGCCTGACATCATATGCCCCGGTTCAGGGAACGAGAAGCCTGGCATTCCCACTGAAATTAGTGCATACCAACAAACTCTGAAAGAAATGCAGGGGAAAAAAATTGTGAAAAATTAAACAGTAAGCTAAAATTTATAGTGACTCTTAAAATTCTGGCTACATATTTGATGTGGGCGGGGAGGGGCTTTGTTGACTCCCCATAGGAGGTCTTACTCTTTTGGAGGAGTGGATGGGGGGTTGGACAAGGGAGGGTGTGTATGTGGGGGGAACAGGAGAAGGGATGGGATG